AGCACCCCAGGAGTTCACAGTCCAGCCCAGTTGCAAGTGGGTGACCTGGTTGTTTTATGCTTCCACGCTCGGTGGTATTTGACGGGAGCCCTTGCTTTGTTCTTTTCAGGACAAGCTTTACCAAGAGGAGTACCAGTTTGTCTCAACAGAGGAGCAGAGAGAAGAAATTTCCAGAAAGCTTAGCGAGGCTTCCAGTTGGATGGAGGAGGAGGGCTACGCAGCTGCAACTAAGGTATCGCTGCGTGTAGTCAGGACACCAGTCTGCTATGACTGACATGGAAACGACCGCACGGGCTGACAGAGTATTGATCCATCTTGATCCTTTGTAATCTGGTTCTTGAAAGTCTCTTGCTTCCTCAGTGCGTTATGCACCAAACAAAATATGAAGTTCTTCCAGCCATGGGTGCGTCTTCAACAGCTTCAGCAGTAACCTGTTGATTCCACATAAAGCTTAGTCACGTGGCCCTTTTTACTGTATTGAAATAGTATATTGGATAGAGAGAATGACAAAACCTGCAGTTTTAACTTCTGAGGTTTACAATGTTAGACAGCGGGCAAACTGATTGTCTTCTTTCCCCTCTCCCCCATTTGCAGGAGCTGAAAGACAAGCTTTCAGAACTGAAAAAGCTTTGTAGGAACCTCTTCTTCCGTGTCGAGGAAAGGAGAAAGTGGCCAGAACGCCTGGCTGCCCTGGAAAGTCTGCTCAACCACTCAACCATCTTTCTCAAGTAAGAGCAAGCTGTTGGGAAGGAGAGTCGTGCAGCTGATAATAAGAGATGCCGCTGCCCTGGAAAGTCTGCTCAACCACTCAACCATCTTTCTCAAGTAAGAGCAAGCTGTTGGGAAGGAGAGTCGTGCAGCTGATAATGTAAGAGATGCCAACAGAACGTGACCGGATGGAACGTGGTCTGAAAGTCACTAGCGCTTCTTGAGAAAAGACGATCAAAACCCTGCTTACTAGTGCTCAGTTTTGCAGAAGCCATTAACAGAAACATGCAGGCTCTCTTTAAACTGGGGGGACAGGAAGTGTCCAACGCTGTACGCACCACTTGCAAGCAGATTTTTCCATCTTGGTCCTATGGCCTCAGCTTTTTCTATCTTCCCTGTTTTTCTAATCTCGTGATAGCTGCATTTGCTGGCTCTGTATTCCATTCTTAGCATCCAGAGATTGATTTAGGACTCTGTTTCCTGCAAGTGCAAGAGACATGAATGTAAAATGTCCTAATTGGCTGGCATGTGCAGTGGCTAGCTGTTATTGTGATTACTGGAGCTGTAAACACTTGAGTTGCCAAGGTACAGTCTGTTTGGTTTAACAGAAATCAACTTTCTTCTTATCTTTAAGGGGAGCCCGAATGATTCCAGAGTCTGATCAGATATTCACAGAAGTGGAACTGAGTACACTGGAGAAAGCCATCAATGAAACAACGGTAATAAAGGATCGAATGATTGGGGGGGGTGGGGGGGCAGTTTGGGTTGTGTTTCCCGTCTGAAGTAACGGGTCGTGTACTTTCACTCGGGGTCGTGGAATAGAGCGTGCACGTCTTGTTTCCATGCCACCAGCAAACCTCTTCTGTGTTTTAGTGTTTTCTAATGCCCAGCTTGACCCCAGACTGCTTTGGGGGGATAACGGTTTTTGTGTGGCGTGTGGACAGTTGCCTCCAGGAGGGGTGGTGTAGCCCAGTAATCTGGCTGCAGTTTCCAAAAGCAGGCACTGGCTTTTTGAGGGTTGCGTTTCTTTGTTTTGTCCTGTGTCTGGGTAGCTAAGAAGCTGGTGGAAATGTAGCAGGGAGCAGCGTTATCCTGAGTAAGTTAGAAGGCACAGGAGTGGTGACTTTGAGGTACTGTGATGTACGGTGGTTCCTGGAACCAAAAAGCATCCGAAAAGCACCTCTTCCCTCCCATCCCACAGATTTGGAAAAACGAGACACTGGCTGAACAGAACAAGCTCTCTCCTACTGAGAAACCCATCCTGCTGTCCAAAGATATAGAGCTCAAGATAGCAGGCCTGGACAGGGAAGTGCAGTATCTTCTGAATAAGGCCAAGTTTGCAAAACCCAAACCCAAAAAGGAGAAGAACACCACAAAAACCGATTCAGGCAAGAATGCTACAGCAACCTCTGAGACCGAGAACACTATCCCTCCCACGGAGGGGAAACAAGAAGGTAAGGAGCAGGTGGGGAGCATGTATATAATTACCATGTGTAACATACTCGTATCTCTCTGCCTTGAGTGACAGGGAGCTAAATAAGTGAAGATGATAGTTAACTGTGGGATCAAATGATCCTCCTCTTAGTTTTCAAAGACAGCTGGGAAAATCTAGGTATGGCAGTGTCCTTCCCCCCTCCCCCGCACTACTTGTTTGTTTGGTTTTTTTCTGTGAAGGAACAGAAAGTATTTATAAACTTCCTAGGATGGTTAGTCAGTATCTGTCTGGTTGGCTGGCTGCCGTATAAGAAAGATAAGCCATCAATTCTGTTCTGGGTGTCCAGAGCAAGTGTTCAAGGTTGTGTCCTATATCAAGGAACAGAATAAGCTGTTGATGAGAGAGGTTTGTGGCTTAGATGGACCCCAGGAAAAAAAAAAAACTCTTGGGACACTAAGACTTGCAGTTTTCTGAACTTTTTAAGATCCTCAGGTTCCGAGTGCTCTGGTCCTTTTAAATCTAGACTGCTGTTTGTCAGCAGAGTTCCCTGCTGGTTCCTCTGGCCTGAGTAAGAGATCCTGCTTATAGTCACAGCTGCAAAGGTGACTTGCCTGTGCAACCAGTGAATCTCCAGGGCTTCTAGGGACATAAAGCCTGGCAGACAGAGGCAGTGAGAAAGAAGGAGCAGTTCTGTGATGCTTCTCTGAGTGTTATAGAGATCCACTGTGAGAGTGAATTACTACAGTCCTGCTGAGGCACCACAGCTGGCTCGTTTGTAAACCTCACCACTAGTCACCTAAGCTCCTGTGTATTCTTCCTTAACTTTTGTGCTGTTTCTTTCTGCTTTAAACATAGGCAAACCTGAGGATATCGGTCCAGCCAAGGAACCTCCGACAGCTGAGAAAGTAGCAACAGATGATGAGCCTGGATCGGACTCTGGTGGGTAAATGTTTAACTAACGGTCTGGAACTTGGTAGCTACAAGTGCAAGCTGTCTGTGTGCTTCTTTCCATCTTTTTAGCTGTAGGAGGTAGTAAGATGGTAGAACCCCCGATTGCGAAGCAATTGTTAATTCTGCAAAGACACAAATTTTGGTTCCTCGCTGTTCCTACGTTTTCATTGTTCCGTGTGAAGTTACAACGTACCACTGCCCCCTGCCTCGGCAGCTGCTTTATGCGTTGGTCGCTGCAGTTTATAGCCGGTCCCGTAGCTGTAAGCCCGTCTTTGTTAAAGAGCTGATGTGCAGGTGTGTGTTTATTTGACCAGTCCTGTTGTGAGGACAGCAATGTTCAACAGCTGGAGGGCAGTAGTGTCTCCGGCTCTTTGGAGCTGAGTATCAGTCCTCAAAGCATTCCCCTGACTTCTGTACCATAGACTGAGAGTTTGGTGGAACACTTAATGAATGTCAGGGACTTTCAGCACTGCTTTGTATACTGTGAAAATTGTTACGGTGTGTAACTGAGTTTACTTCATTACACAGGGTCCAAAAAAGAGGAGAAGACAGAAGCTGGAGGAGAAAGCAGGAAAAACGATGAGTTATAACACCCCTGAAATCCCACTAGTGTCAACATCTATTTATTTCATGGTTACTTTCTTGTTTTTATAATGGGCCTGGTTAGTCATGATGTAAATGGAACACAGTGAACAGCCTGACAACAAAATGGGATAGAGATGTAAATTTTTTTTTTTCTTTCTGGGGATTTTGCCGCTACTAACTTAGTGAATTGGGTTTTTGTTTTTCTTATGTGTTTAAAGGTGGCAGTGTGCCCACCCAGAATTGTCTCAGTTTCAGTACCGAAGTCACCAAAGTGACTTTTCTGTGGAGAGAAAGCAGTAAAGAAACATCTGAAGCTTTAGGAAGTAACTTGGAACGTAAACTCTGTGCCACACCTCCTCTAGTGAAGATGAACGGGATTAATGCAGAAGCATATGTAGCTGAGATGGTGTTGTCTTTGCGTATGAGGCCCTCATGTAAAGAAATTGCGTGATTTCAGCTGATGGGAGGTGTATTCTCATTTGGATTCATGGGACGGTGGAACAGAATCGGGGAGGCGGATGGCCCGTGCTTCGAGATAAGAAAGTGTCTATTTTCCACAGACTGTTGTTAGGACCATCTCTATCCGTGCTCTGTAGCAGAGTCTGAAAACCGTGACGAAAAGATTCTGTTTATAGTTTACTACAAAATAAAGAGCTGGGAAATAGCAATACTGAATGCTAAGGAGGCTGGAAGAAGAAACGTGTTAGTGCATCTTGTAGTCAGAACAACCACTGGTAACGGACCACAGAGGAGGCACAGGGTTAGGCAAAACCAGAACTGGCACCGTTAATCGTAACTATCCTCCTTCCCCTGCATCTTGTGTACTCGGACTGGCTTCATCGTGAACCTCCATGTCCGTGGCTGTGGCCTCCCCACTCCTGCTGCGATACATGAGTGGAGTCTCTGATCGACTCACGCGGACACCTGTGAATGTGCACCTGATGTTGTTCTCCATTTTGGCCTCTTCAACCAAAAATAAAAATGACACTTCCTTGACAGTCTCTTACAAACGGTTCCGTTTGTTGCTGCCGCCGGGGTACGTGCGCGGGGACGGAACGGGGGCGGGG